CACAGACAGGAATCCAACTAGAGGGGAAAGGCAGAACCTGTGGACATGATCTGTCTGTTGCACTCACTCACACTCTTCCTCCTTCACCAGCTACCTCAAGGCAGGGCTGAAACACACACACACACCTCATACAAGACCTTTTTTTTCCTTTACTGTAGGACAACTTACAGCAGAATAGCAGATTAGGAACGCTTTTATGATATACTTATTTCTAACTTAGCAAACTTCCATATTCACTGTTGGAGGAAGGCATTTGGACTGTGTCCCCATTTTGAAAGTCACAATGAAGTGAACAATTAAAAAATCTTGTTTCCTATGATAGTACATATTTTTCATATAAATGTAGATAAATTCCTTAAGTTTTACTATTTTCTGTACATTTACACCTCAAAGATTTGACAGCCCCCCCCCCCCCCCACAAGGCCAAAACCATGTAAAAACTTACAAAAACACTTACAAAAAGGCCTAACTTTTGATTAATGAAGTTCATTCTTCTTTTTCTTTTTTTTTTTTTTTTTTACGTAAAATGTAAATCAGTAGGTACATTTTTACCTCTGCCAAGGAAGTTTTATTGTCACCCCTGTAAATTAATCTGTATCTGAAAAACTCATGAACACATTTCCGTGAAATTTGGTGGAGAGATCAGCCTCCAGGCAAGCAACAGTTGATTAGATTTTGATAGTGATCTGGATCTGTGGTTTCCACTATTAGATGATTATTGTTTCTCCTCCCCCCCATTGGATATAGAGATTTAATTCCAAATCCAATCCAAACCCTAACAGTACACTTGCTGGGTCAAGAAATCGATTTCACCTCAAAATCAAAGAATGAGGGAATGTTCTGCGTCCTTCAAGGTGGTTTCCGTCTAGTTCTTCCGCATATTATAAATGACACCCCAACAGAACATAGACTCCCAGGCACAACTCGGCATTGTGTGGTAGCTACAATACTGGATTTGTCATCTGCCCCTTCCTTCTCCACCCTCCCCTTCCCAGGGCAAATGGTGTAAGAAATGAGACGTGGCTGGTGGATATACTTTCATGCCCCTGCTTTACCAGTGTCATTTCGGCAACTCTGAAATTGTGCCATGGTCTACAGGGTTTGTTGTAAATCACTATCTCCCACTGTCAGACTGCAGTCGGCTGTACACTGTGGATGCCTGGCTTTCTGCTGCCTCCTGGGTGACTAATATATCTTGTTAAATTGTGCTGAGAAGCGTGCGGAGAACTGTACACCTTCCCTCTTTGTACTGTGTTTGTTTGCATTTGTGCCTGTGTGTGTGTGTGTGTGTGTTTGTGTGCGCCTACTTCAGAATGTGTTCTAGTCTGTGTCGGTCTGCATCTGTCTACGTGTCTACATTTCGTGACTGAATAGGTAGGTGGGGATGTTACTTTAGCAAATATGTTCACTAAACTCCACAAGTCTGTCAGGCTTTGTTGGTAATTCAGTTAGATTGCTATTCGGCCAGCTTCCGCTCACCACCACCACAGTATCGGAGTTGTGAAGCTATCTCTTAGCCACTTCATAATTAGAAATGCTGTGGAGCCAAGCCACAGTTTGAGGGGGAAGAGGGAGAAAAAAAGCTGTTGGCAGACTGCATTATTCAACATTGGCAGCAATTTACTCTGTCTCCCACCCCAAAGACATGAATCTAAGTGATTTCATAGTCACATCCGTTCTAGTGTGCCATACTGTTTAAAGCCGGACTCTTCTCTTATCACCAGCTCTTAAGCCTTGCACTGTATGCTATCAGCATCATCCAGCACTGTACATACACACCACACACACACACACACACACCATATCTCTGTCCAACTTTGAAAATAAATATATGTGTATATTTCTGTGTAATTGGTGTTCTCCTGCACAAAGCAGAGGGAGATAATTAACCATTGTTAAGTGAGGTGTAAATTGTCTGATCCACATGTATTTATCTTCTCAGCGCACAGAGAGCAAAACAGGCCGTTTTGGGGATTTAGGCAGACTCTACAGTGACGTTCTACTCTCCTGGCCACCGTCCAGCTCTCAAATCCCTTTTTCCTGAAACCTGTCGAGAAACAGCCTTGCCGTGGCTTAACTGTATTCCTTCTAATTCTAAAGTCTTTTTTAGTCATAGCAAATTCAATCTGGGACTATGGCTGACCTTCAGAGAGAAGGTGACGCCGCCCCCCTGCCAGTTGTATATTTAACAAGAAACAGACGTCAGATTTTCTTCCTTTATGTTGGTGGGTGAGAAATGTCTTCCCTTATTTTGGTTTCTGTGCAATTACGGTTGTGACTGCTCTGTAAATAGGTGTCTCTGAAGGGAATCTGTCTCATTACTAAGGAGCAGTTATTAAGTTGCCATTATGCCTGCAGGAAATGTGTGCTAATGATCATAAGAAGCCTCAAGAAAGAAAAGACAATGTCACGGTAGGGGGAAAAATGTCAAATCTGCCATTCTTCATAAAATGGCTAAACAAGTCTATCCTGTACAGCAGGGGGCATTGTTCGGGAGAAGAAAAAGAAAAAAAAAGAAAAGAAAAGAGAGAAGCCCAGTTGGCCGGCTCTGAAAGCAGCAACTCCAGATAAACATTTGGCACAAGAAAAATCTTAGGAGGAATCCCTGAGCACTCTCAGTACAAACAACGTCATGATTTATTATCACATCATACAGACCGTGACTAATGCACTCAAACAATCAAGGTGCATCTAGTGAACTACAATGCCCAGGGGTGCTCTCTGCCACTTACTTCAAACATTCGTAAATGAAGCACACACACACATTAGAGCCACTTGCTGTGTATGCAGACTCAACAAATGTCCCAAAGTATCCTAGCGCACACACGGAATAGGAAAGAAGGCCGTGGACATTCCCACAGGGGGTCGTAGTGTGTTCAGCACAGACAGCAGCCACTGGGATATGATTTTATTAACTCCAGATGTCACTGAAGAGAGGACTAGAAACAGTCAATATTATGAGCAGGACACATCAAAATGATGCTGCCCATCTGGAGCACAAATAATGTAATCAACTCGGGTCACCGGTCATCATCGTCTGGCCGTCGGGTAAACCCACCATCCTGTGACGTCACCGCTCACAGGGACAGGCTGGAGTCGGCCGGCAGATTGAGACTCAAGCTTTTTGGAATATCCCCTAAGCTGCAGCACATGACCCGCGGAGTGAAGATATTTGGGAGAAGAGAAAGATGAAATGTGAGAGACTGTCTTTTGTAATCTGAGCTCTGGTTTATAAAATGCAGATAGCTCTGATGTGTCTATTCCCATCTGTCAAATCAGTTCTGCGGTATTATTTTGAATGTCTTCAGACAAAGCACTCACACAGCTCGGACCATAAACACAAATCAACTATGTGCTATATGTTCCCCTCACACATGCACACATACAGGAACTCTATTTGCAGAGGCTTTAAATATTCAGTACCTGCCGTGTTTTCTGTGTGACTTTGATCAGCCACAGATTCTCCTCTGTCCCTTTCATCTCTGAACTTCAAACCAGCATTTGAAAAACCTGGACCACAAAACCTGTTCTGGTTCAGACAATCACAGTTCACCAAGCTGCTCTCTGCCTTATGAAACCAAGCAGGAAGTTGTTCCAATAAAAAAGAAAGACAAGCAGTGGAGTTAACCTACTCTTTGCAAAGACAAAGTTTATTTTTTAGAGACTACATCATTACCCAATCTCCCCTGATAAGCACAAGTCCTTGTTTGCAATTTAAAAAGTATGTGCTTGTGATTATTGCAGAATATTCCCTGGGTAGTTTGACAACTCCCCCAAACAACTTCTTGGCCGCCTTTAGGCATATTACCTCAGGCTTACATTGAGCCAGCGCAATAACTAACATGGAGCAATCTGCAGGCAACAGGAAGGACAGTGAAACTTTCCAAAGCACTAAATTCAATTTTCAGGATTGCATAGTTGTGTTAGACCCCCCCCCCCCCACACACACACACACACATCCCACCCCACCCCTCACATGCACACTCTGTCAATACCTGCAACTTTTGAGTAAAGGAGCTAAGTTAATTCTTTTACAGCACTGTCTGCATTATTCAGCAAGCACATTAAATATTCACAGCCACATCACTGATATCATGTTGTAGTCAATAACACTGGAGGACACGTTGTTATAGAAAACTTGAGTCAACTCCAAGAGTACTTTCCTAAAAAGCGAGGCCTTTCTGATGATCTCAACAGCAACTATAACAAAAGGCAGCAGGGTATCACAGTGCCACTGCAGGCAACCACAGACAGACAGTCATCCGCCTTCATCAGAGCATGCTGTCCCACCTGCATCGATTCGCATCCCGTGGATTTTTCACTGGCTGCAGAAAGAGCATCGGTGGAGAGGGAGGGGGAAAATTCAGCTTCACTGAAAGATTTAAGCAAGCGTTTGAAAGGGCTGAAGTTTCATGCGTGATAAAATAAGACAAAGATGCGTTTAGAGCTCAGGCCTGCACGCTCGCATCACCTCAGCGCAGCGGGGCAGACGCGTACTGCGTCGTGCAGGACCTCTGTACCGGAGGGGCACGTTTAGTTTGCACATCGACAAATGAATGGGAATTGCGCACAGAGCCATTTAACAAAATACAAAAGTTGATGAACCCGATGGCCATCGATTGGCCACACTGTAAGTTGTATGAAGATGATGTGGACGTGAATACCAATAACTTCCGACTCAAACTCATTTTCAATTCAAAGCCCGAAGCGCTTCCAGTAATCATTCACTATGGCTTTTGCTCCACTAGAGATTTCCTTCGTGGCTTAGAATAAATATAAGATAAAAAAGAGATGAAGCTCTAATAAAAGCGACAGAACTATTTCGCATAGGTCATTACTGTGTGAGCAACCTAGAACAACCCGGCTCGGACAATTCATAATAGGCTACAAACGCTGCAGAAGAAGTCGCCTAACTGATCTCTGTTCAAGCTGCGATTGAGCCACAAATGAAACAATTTCCCCAGCGGATGATGAGAAGTTGTAAGCGAAGCCCCGCTCACCTGATAATGAAGTTTATTCTAGGAGGAAATTTTCCCAGGGCTGTGAAGGCGCACGTCGGAGCCAAGTGTATCCGTTCACTGCAGCTTTTGTTGCCCGTTGTTCCACCTCAACTGCGCGTCTCAGTCGCGCTGCATCACTTCTCGCTGTGGATGTCAGGGAGGCTGAGAGGCTGAGGGGACTCAACCCTCCCATTGGCTGCCATTCACGAGTCCCCAGCAGAACACGGCGAAAAAAGGAAAAGGGGAGGAAGAAAAGAGAAAAGAGAAAAAAAGAAAAAAAACATGACAAAAACAAAAGGAAGGTGGAAGATTGGGAAATTAGTGCTCCGGTGGTGCCGCGTTTCAACTGCCAAGCGATGTTCAAGTTTAATAATAAGAGCCCAACGGTTTAGTGCATGCTCTTTCCTCATTTGCATAATCCCCGATTAATAGTTGCAAAGTCAGAGGTTGCGTGTGGGTTTGAGTCAATCAATACATGACTATATCTGTAAAAGCCTCCAGTTAGACTCCCTGCTTCCTACAAAATCTTAGAAGCCATAGATCATATATGGATACAATGGCTGATTAAATATGGGTGGCTCTGTATGAAGTAAACGGATGAATGCACCAGCAACTATCATGCCAGGGCAATAGAACATTTGATCACAATTAATATGTGTTCGATAACTCCATGTTACAATACAGCCTACCACTAATAATCTGCAGGATCAATACACGTTCTAATGATGTTCTTACATTTATTTTGTTTTTGATTTTTCATGTGTATCCAACAGAGTTGCAAATTTAGTTTAGTTGTACTTTAACAATGACAATCAAATAAATGACACTGCTGCTGCACTGATTCTAAACATACCCAATGATAAGTAATACAAATGCTGATGGTAGGTCTACTATTATTACTATTAGTAGTAGTGTATGAACCAAAGTATTAAATACACCCTGTTGCCAGTTTATTAGGTACACTTAGCTAAAACTTATGCAGTCTAATATAACAGGCCAGCAAAAGATAAATAGAGTCCCGTTCATGAAGGTTATAATGTTCAGTTTTTGTTGAAACTGTTTGAGCGAGTTATTGATTCAACTTTATCAGTTTGGAGGGTGTAGTTGGTGGTGTTGATAAGTTGTATTGCGTTATAATGAGGGGTGTTTCTAATATTCTGTTCTCTGGCCTGTGGTAAGTTGTACTTCACTTCAGTTGTATCAGAAAACCTGTAATACATGATATAGATAATATTCATATTTATAATAGTGATAATAATAATTCCACCAACATAAACATTTCATCTGGTACACGTTTTGACATGCTTTGGCTATACCATGGGTGTCAAGTTTACAACACTTTCACTTCAAAAACCTACTGTTATACTGTTATTTTGAGAAAAGTACACTGAGTTGAATTTCACCTTAGTTACATGCCTGCAGCTGACTAAATATTCTTAAAGTCAATGTTTTGTGGGTGGGATTTGCAAGTGAGACCCTCCCTATCTTGCTAGTGAACACTTAACAATCTGTTCTACATGGCCCACTGATGTTTAGAGCTGCTAATGATGTCAGATTCTTTTTGGAGAAGGTTAGAGGGAAATCTGATTACTGGCCAAGCCTGTAAACTGTGGGGGTTTAGAGTAATCAAAATAATGCAGCTTATGCATGCTTTAACCAGTGCCCTGCCATGACCAGATTACACACTGTAATCTGTTATATTTTATTTGTACAGATACTGTTACTGTGCCTGAGCTCAAAAAATTGTGAAGAAAAGTTAGTTTGCTTTCTCATGTTAAAGATTCTATAATGTTTTGGCACATGGTTTTGTCAAAATCTCAATTTAAGTAAAACTTAAATCCGTTGGTCTATAAATTTATGATGGTTTCAAGATCGACCTACGTACATGTACCAGAAGAAAACAGTTCAAACACAAACAGTGGAGTTTTTTTGTTGGTATTTATCTCATATAACACATATCACATGTGGAAAGACCATTTCAAGTAAAATTCCAGGTACATTTCACGTGATAGAATCACACGACGTCATTTTGCAATTATAAGTGACATATAAGATATCACATGTGTAATCCCCGCCCCAGCATTCACAAGTGTTGCGAATGGCAAAGGAAATCCAGCCGGACCAGACCTTAACAGTGCTGAATGATATCCCTTCAATTGCAATTTACTGTCCAAACCTAAAGGTAAAACACAGGCAGACACGAGAACCATAATTAGTCACATAATTAAGTTGTGATGTTGCAAAGGCAGTTCAGTGTTATCTTGTAATGATGACATGATGGAATTATAATCACAAGTATACAATTTCTTGAGATAACGAGATAATTGAGTTCTGGTCTTAAGATAACAGGAGTAGAAAGAAAATTAGCAGTTAGCTGCTCCCCGCTTCCATACTACTTTATAAACATTGTAATATGTTTTACTCATACACAGAACTTAACATATTTATTTTTTATTTAACCTTTATTTAATCAGGTAGGCCGATTGAGAACAGATTCTCATTTGCAACGGCGACCTGGCGAAGAAAGTGTAGACGTGCAGAACAACATATAGTTACACACTGAATACAGATAGTAAAATTACAAAAATACGTAAAACAGTAATGAGTCTGTAAGGAGAATATTTGAAAGTGCTGTAGCGTCTATGTGCATTTAGTGCAGCTGCCGACCATTCAAAGAGGTATAGAAATCTATAAACATTTTGTGCAAGTTGAGTTCTAATTACAGAGGTAGGTCAGGTGGTGTGCAAAACAGTATGGCAGTAGCGGTGGGAAGAATGACATTTGAGCATACTTGTGCAGATGGAATGGAGCAAAAGAGCATAAAACAGATGCAGTACAGGTGAAACTGTGCTACTAAGAAAGGGACGTGACAGTGCAATTTTAGTACTGGTGTGCAAAAACATTATGTGAGTGGTTCAGACAGACATGCTTTAAAGGCAGTGAGGGGGATTAGGGTCTCTAGCTTGAGGGTTTTTTGTAACTCATTCCAGTCATTGGCAGCAGAGAACTGGAAGGAGTGGCGCCCGAAGGTGGTATGGGCTTTTGGGGTAACCAGAGAGTTGTACATGCTTGAGCGCAGGCTGCGGGTGGGTAGTGAGCGTAGGTACAGGGGGGCTCTGCCTAGCAAGCACTTGTAAATAAGTAGGTACCAGTGAGTTAGGCATCAGGTGTGTAACGACGGCCAGCCAACTAATGCGTAGAAGTCGCAGTGGTGGGTATTAAATGGGGCGGCGGTAACAAAACGGATGGCACTGTGGTAGACCACATCCAGTTTTTTCAGAAGAGAGTTTGAGGCAGATCTATAGATGACATCACTGAAATCTAGCATGGGTAGAGCAGTCATTCTTACCAAATCAAGTTTGGCAGCACGAGTGAAGGAGGCCCTGTTGCGGAATAGGAAACTGATTCTGGACTTAATTTTAGATTGAAGGTGGTTTATGTGGGGCTGGAAAGAAAGGGAACGATGGGAATGATAGATGTATTGGAAATAATAATGTGTCAATAAAAAAGAAAATTAAAACACTGAATCCCCCCCCCCCCCCATCATTTCAGTCCTGTCATTTTCAGTGAGACATGAACCACAAAACATATGTCACATCTAATAAAAATGTAGTACACATAATGTGCAATATGAGGATGGAAGGAAGGTCTGCAGGCGTTTATGTTTTTATGATTTAAAATTTGTCTCTTTTTTTTTTTCAAGCCAAAGACCCCACGCTGTGCATGCATTACCACCCATGCAGTGTTTGTGTCATGATGACCACTGGCTGCTGTTAGATTCATGAGTTTAATCCCTGGAAGCGCTCCAAGCATCCACTTTGCTGCTGCCCTGTCCTCTCAACCAAACATCAAACTCTTGCCTATAGCGCAAAATGCAGTGAGCCAAAGGGATGTCTGCATTTGGCATCATGTTCTATCAGGAGATCAGCCTGAGATGAATAACCGCTGCCCTTGACTGCATCATTGCTACTGAATGAGCTTACATTGCCTTAGCATTTTGGTCAGTTTATTTAACACCAATTTTGTCCCAATATGCCATATCTACTACTAGTTAAAAATAAATTGTAGACAAGCAGTTCCTTACATTGTAACACTAACAGAATATAGTTTGTAAAAACAAAAAATAATGAGGCTATAATTTATTATTTTCCTCTGTCTCTAAGAGTTTTCTTGTTAATGACTTCTTCATATTAGAATAGAGAGAAATAGTGTAGATATTCATCCGCATGCACCATGTGTTGCTTTACAGAAAAAGACAGTTATGGGGCATGGAGTTAGACAGGGGAAGTAGAGGGCAACCTCCATACAAATTTGTACTCCTATTATTCCTGACAGCTGAGATACTACAGGATTTGTCAGAGAAAGGAATTGTTCAGAGTATCAGATCTGAAGATCCAACCTCATTTGTTGCCAATACTCTCGGCTCCTGTGTTTATAGTCATCCATATTTCATTAATCTGTCTCACCTTGCCAGAGTCGGTGTGAAAATGACAATAGCAATGGAGGACACAAAGAGCTATGTTCACACCTCCTGGTAAAAGTAAACCCATCCAATCTCAGACCCAGTCCTCCAAGCCCTCAACCCAACCCCAGCTCACCTTCCAGCATCAGTTATTATCTCACTCTTGTTCGAACTCATTACAGACTGTTCCTGTACAGATGTGGGTTGTTATAAGTATAAACAGCGTAAACATAATGTGTAATGTGTCTATCTCTAAATACTTTCTGACTGCTCTACTCTCTTCATGGCACTCAGCTCTAAGCCCATTGGTTCCTACTAAACCAATGAGTGTGAAAGCTTTATGAATCAGGTCATAAATACATAGTTTAAAAAGGCTAAAACAGCTGCGAGTGTTACTCAAACAGGAGTAAATTCTAGTCTATTTGTTGGGGACTATTTTCAGTTGCAGATTCATGCACATGTGGTGCTCTGGTGAGTATTTCCAGCACAAAATAAACTACAGTGTGTTTTCGTGGTAATGAAGAAAGACGTCACCCAGTGCAACGGTGTGGCTCACTGATGTCTTGTTAATATTCTCTGGACAACAATGGAGCTTTAGGGCACAGAGGAATAAGATACTTATCAGTACATTGTTGGTTTTAGTATGTTCGTTTTTTTTAAAGGGATTTGTTGACAATAACAAATAATATAGAATATCCCCAGTCTCATCCTTTAGATATGGAAGATTTCCATTTTGGCTTCACTCTTAAACTCCTATGTTTTGTTACATTATTTACATTGGTTGTCAATGTC